AAAAAAAAAAAAAAACATATTTCGGTGCAATTTTTTTGGGGGGCGGGAACCAATTAATTGGTTTTCCATTATTTCTTATGGGGAAAATTCGATCAGAACTCGAACTTTTTAGGATTCGATCTGGAGTTCTGAACGGATTAAGTTTGAGTTCTGAGGTACCACTGTATTTGAAAAGTAGACTGTCCAAGGTTTCTGAGGCTGTTTTTTAAATGTTTATTTGACAAAAACTCGCAGTTATTTAAACGGTTCGGAGACATTTCTGTCAGATCCCGCCGGCAGGATCGCTGACTCCAGATGGTTAAGGGATTGATATGTGTGAGTTTAGCACAGTGCTACCATGAATGTGTGTAGACTCTTCCAGCACCCTCTCCATTTAATGCAGATGACTAACTGCAAGTGTCTGTAGTGCAGACTTTCATAGAATATCTCTATGCCTCTTTCCTCAGGGTGTCTCCACGGTAGTAAAAGGTAGTAAATGGAATTTGACTTGGTAGTACATTTTTTTTCATCATCCACCTCAATATATTTTGAGTGTCCCATTCGTCTGAGGGATTTCCCTAGTTAATTTGTAGTTATTTAATTATGTTCATTTAGTTAATTAATTTATAGCTTTCATATTTCTTGTTTTAATATTTCTTTCTGTCCTTGCTACTCACTCATCATGTTCTTTGCCTATCTCATACAACGTACTCACACCAAGGCCATCTGACCCCCTGGCTCCAGAAGTCTGTACGAAGACCATAGATAAAGGGCCTGCTTCCCTCAGTGGGGGCAGAGTCAGACACAGACAGACACTGAACCGGCCGTGTGAAACATCTTTCTGTAACATCTTCATTCTGTCTTAATAAACTGCTTAAGCTTAAGGAACCTGCCTCATCATTCAGCTAGAAATCTATCAGTTGGCGTCACGAACAGGATCGGTGAGAGACAAGGCCGAGAGACTAATTAATGCTGGATGACTGAAGACAACAATTAAGCGCGCAAATCAATGTAGGTAAGATCTTCCTCCTGTCTTTGGCTGAAGGTTGAATAGCCTCTCCCCTGCTCAAACACCCGATCAGAGAGTTGTTTGATGAAGAAGTGAACGTAACTAATTGTGAGATATCTGTATTTGTTGTGAGCTCAAAAAAAGATAAGTCGACTATAAAGAAGTTTTTCCGTTGCTGTAACGGGATAGAAACAGCATTTTCTTGCAAGAGTTTTTCCGTTTTACTGTTTGGGAAAAAACAGCCGTTCATACTGTTCGGGAAAAAACAGTTTACCGCTCATAATCTGTGGCTGTTCCATCAAACATGGCCTTATCTAGGAAATTTGGCAGTAGAATTAATGTTTCTGCAAGGCCGACCACTGAGAAGGGAGGAATGGAGCCTCCAGATGTTGATGTGGAGTATATGATGAAAAATCTCAGTGAATATCTGAACAGAGCTTGGTGTTTGAAGTCGACAGCTGCTGGCATCCATGAGAAGTATGCTATCAATACAGATTCAGGTGGCATTTGGTCTTTGGATGACATGTGAAGAGCATGGGGAAAAGCACAGCGCATCAGGGATGGAAAAAAGCAGTTGCAGTGGACACTTGTTGTACTGGGTCAGACTCGCCGTCGGAAAGACATGATTGCAAAAATAATGCTGGCCGAGAACAGAAAAGTTTGCATGAGCAAGTTACTGCTTTGACTGATGTTGTCCGTGAAAAGAACAAACAGCTGTCTGACAGACAGACAGAGAGAGAGAGAGAGATGGCAGAAGAGCAAGCTGCGCGTGCGATTGCTGATGCTGCGCGTGTGAGGGCAGAAGAGGAGAGAGATGCTTTATTTAGGGAGTTAGCGAACTGCAGAGCCGAGATGAATAAAAATCATATTGCTTTAACAAACCAGCTGCAAATGGCTTCGAATGCAGGAAACGCTGAGCGACCCCTGGGGGGTGGAGCAACCACATGGGTGACTCCACCTATTCCTCCTCCTCCTCCAACACCAGCCCTGCCTGTGACTGCTCTTCCACCTGTCCCTCCTGCACCCCCTCCTCCACAAGCGCCTATGCCAGCAGAGCGGCTGCATCCTGCCGAAGGTCAGGAGAAGGATCTGAAAGAAAAGTGCCTCACACTGGCGGAAGAATTAAAGGCCACAATGGAAAAAAGATGAGTGCTCCCCCAGTGGTGACTGTGAGTACTACACCAGTGACTCATCCCAGTGCAGCACCACCAGTGGTGTCTTCAAGCACTACATCTCAAGTAATGGTTTATACATCTGGAAATGATGAGACGTAAGAAGAAGCACGACTTGTTCATCTGGCTCCTCTGAGAACAAAAAGAGTCAAGCCAAGAAAAGAAGAGGATGGAACATACACCTATCGGGATGTGTACACTCATGAAGTGGCAGACCCGGAGAAAATAGATAAATAAAGCTCCCACATCCAAAAAAGCACTGGCTAAAGACATGGCTGCGCTCCTTCCTGGGACTGTGCAACTACAACAGGATGTGGGTCGTGGTCCCCCTCTTTAAGAAGGGGGACCAGAGGGTGTACTCCAACTATAGGGGGTATCACACACCTCAGCCTCCCTGGTAAGGTCTATTCGGGGGTTCTGGAGAGGAGGGTCCGCCGGATTGTCGAACCTCGGATTCAGGAGGAGCAGTGTGGTTTTTGTCCCGGCCGTGGAACAGTGGATCAGCTCTATACTCTCCGCAGGGTTCTAGAGGGTTCATGGGAGTTTGCCAGTCTACATGTGTTTTGTGGACTTGGAGAAGGCATTCGACCGTGTCCCTTGGGGAGTCCTGTGGGGGGTGCTCCGGGAGTATGGGGTGCCGGGCTTCTTTTTAAGGGCTGTTCGGTCCCTGTATGACCGGTGCCAGAGCTTGGTCTGCATGGGCGGCAATAAGTCGGACTTGTTTCTGGTGAGGGTTGGACTCCGTCAGGGCTGCCCTTTGTCACCGATTCTGTTCATAGTTTTTATGGACAGAATTTCTAGACGCAGCCAGGGCGTTGAGTGTGTCTCTTGGCTGGCCTAGGAACGCCTCGGCATTCCCCCAGACGACCTTAGTGAGGGAAGTCTGGGTTTCCCTGCTGAGACTGCTGCCCCCGCGACCCGACCTCGGATAAGCGGGAGATAATGGGTGGATGGATGGAAGTATTTGAGTATGTAATGTTCCTTTACCGAATATGCAAAGACATGTGTGCAACCATGTGCTGTGCTTAGAATGACTTTTTATTATTGTCTCACTTTACTGACATCATCAGCTACGGTTGCCCGTTAGGTACATTACATATATGACATCCCCTTTCTTTAATTTTTAATTTTTTTTAAATAAAAATTTCTCAAAACAGAAAGAGAATCTGTATGTATGTTTATATATAAAAAAACACTCATCATGCACATCTGTATGTACATAAAGATGTTAACTGAACAGTTCTGTAATGTAGTAATACAGTTTTATCAGCTTCTCATTAACATAATTTTATAGGTTGTAAGTAGTGTGTGTGTGTATGTGAACATGCATACATACACTCACCTAAAGGATTATTAGGAACACCATACTAATACGGTGTTTGACCCCCTTTCGCCTTCAGAACTGCCTTAATTCTACGTGGCATTG